ATCATAATTTAATAATGTATTTACAAACTATGAGACAAATTAATTCTTAGTGCTTTCCTTCTATGTTTATGGGCATAACCACTATTACTTCCTATGAGAGTTATGTCTGAAGTTTCCTTTACATACCAAGTCAGAATTTGTCTCAATGAAATGACTCCCAAATGTTCAGTGATTTCAGGGGAGATGAATGTGCAAAAATGTTAATTCTCCTGTAAGAAAGTCTGATTTTCTTTTTTTCTGTAACAGTATCTCCTATCCTTAAAAGTGCTCTCTAGGATCATGTAGAATTCTCTGGAAGGAATTTAAACATGACAAGCCTCATTCTTGTACTGCTGGAAATCATTAAAATGGTACTTGTTATATAGCAGAAATTAATTTCCAGCAGTAATTTTCATGTTTCTATACTCTGTTATTTAATCCTTGAAAAGGAAAATCAATCAAGTAAAATCTTCACTGATTTTACAGTATATTGTGGGCAATTACATCTGTACAAAGATTACAGCTTCCTGTCAGGAATATGCCAAAAGGATAAGATGGAAGCTTCTGAAGACTCCTTGTAAGTGTTAGCATTGAGCCTGTTTATCTACATGGAAAAATATATCTTAGCACATCTTTCATAATCAGGGATATGACTGTAGGCAACAGAAATAATAAATCTATTACCATCACTGCAGAACATGGGAATTTTGCCTCAGTGAGGTCTGGGTTTAAATACAGTACTGCTGAAGCACTGAGGACAAAAGCAGTTCAATAGCATTTTGTAATAAGCAACCGATCCTCTTGCTGTAATTGGATCACTCTTCTCCTAGGAGATCTCATTCCCACTATGTGGAATTCCAGCAGTGGAACAGTGAAACGGGCAAAATCCCATTCTGAATAAGGTTGAAGCAAAACCAAAAGGTTGTCCTTATTAGGCTTTACCTTGATGCCTTGCAGTGATGTAAATAGAAATTTCATGCAATAAGAACTGTTTGGGCCCACATACATCTTTGTTTCTGAGTTCTAACCATGTGTGACAGGTCAAAAAAGTTACGGGAGATCTTAAATAAGTAATCCCACAAATCACATTCTAGAAGCTTTTTTAATTCCTGAAGCTTTATTAGCCATATCTTCTTTTTTCTCCTGTGCTTCGCTAGGCTTATCAACGTTGCAAGCTGTGCTGGATTCTGCTGCTGAAAAGAAATGGCAAGTGACTGCTATCAATGTAGGAAATATTAACAATGACAGAAAAGATGAAACTTACCGTTCACTGTTTCAAGATTTAGAGGTAAAAAAGGAAAGGCGAGTGATTTTGGACTGTGAACGTGATAAAGTCAACGACATTGTTGATCAGGTTTGCTATTCTTTATTCTTCAGTGACAGCAGTTAGCTGTATTCTATAAGTAAATATATTGAGTTGATTTGTCTTGGTCATATTTTTGTGGTTATTATGCATCATTTGGCAGTGACCAATTTGTATCAAGGATCACATATGTATGTGGCAGAAAGTGAACATACAAATCATATAATCCTTCCCATTACTCAAAGGCAAGATAATTCTATCTGGATGATCCTGTATGGTTTTTAATCCTAGTTATTTAAAATAAAAACAAAAATTTACAAAATATCTCATTCAGACTCTTTCACAACCTAAGTAGTAAACTGCATTATGCGTAGTTGATACACTATTATAAGTGGTGCATTATAAATAGTTATATTATGTCTAAGGATTAGTTCTCTTTACACCGAGAAAGTATTTTCTCCTGCTAATGCTTTTTCTGAGAACCTCTCACATCTTGGGAAGACTGTATCACAACTTCTTTCTCATTTAATACCCTTTGTAATTCATGTTTCTAAGCTCTTTGTCATTCATACTTTCCTTAGGTGTCTGTTCATTTGGTCTCACTCTTAAAAGTGTGTTAACCAAAATTGGGTGCTGTTTTCCATAGCTAAGGCCTCCTGAGCTTTAAAAAGAACAGCAAGTTATGTCTTCTCTCCACACATGCAAATTATGTACCAAAATGATTTTTTTAAATTTTGTTTTTCACAACATCATCCCCATGCTCTGATTCAAATTATTGCATTACTTTCAAATCCACCTCTTCGGTCCTAATGCCTTACTGGCTCTGTATCATACTACTTCTTTTCATGCATGCAGAGCACAATGGAAAATTGTAAGGACAGTTCCCTGTTGGCTTGAGTTTGATCATATGGGACTGTGCAGCATCAGTAGGGATATATCATCAGAGTGTAGATGTATTTATTTAAAGGTTTTTTGAAGGGCTTGTTATTTTGGTCTTTGTTTTGAAGGTCATTACATTTTGGAGAGGCTCAGACAATGAGCAGTCTCCTAAATAGAGTGCATTGTATTTGTGTGTTTTATTTGGACTTCATATCCACAAACTGTTTCTCTAATTTTCAAGATAAATTTTGAACCTGTTCTTCAGAGCATTTGATCTCTGAGAGCTTGATCTCCCTGTCATCTGCAGTTTTTTAAAATCATATTTTCTGACTTGTTATCCATGTCCAGAAATGTACAGTGTAGAGCAATGATTGAGATAAGTACTACTTATAAGTCTTCTTCAGTTGGTTCTGTGTGGCTTTCCAAACTGTTGTTCACTTACCTTACAGTGACTTGTCCGTGACTCTTAGGAGTTTCTAAGGACGTCCTACAGGACATACACCTTATTAGACTGAAGATATGTCACAACTGCTATTTCCTAATTATCCATTAGGCCAGAGAAAGAAAAGATACTACTTTGACATATTTTGATCTTGTCAAGACTATTTTGACCATTTATTAACTTATTATCCAATAGATTCTTCTAAAAATAAGTATGTAATATTCACTATAATCTCTGATATGAAAGTTTGGCTGACTGTAAGTTTCTTCAGTTTTTCCTTTTAACCACTTTTTAAAACCAAGAACCCTCTTTACCCTTTAGTTACCACTCATTTTTATAGTCTTTGTTTCATAACAGACCTACTTTCTTTTTTGTCTAATTCTTATTTTGATTGCAGTTCTGGGATATTTTTCTTGCCCTAATTGCACTTTGACAGATTCTGTCTTGTTTAAAGGCTTAGATTTTTTCAGCTTATCCCCATAGACTTGTGCTACTCCTTAAGCATACAGATAGCTAAGCTTTTGTTTCTGTTGTTTTGATTTGTAAGTGACTGAAGAATTCGAGATAACTGAATCATCCACAGAGGTCAGTTAATATCATTCCAGTTAGTTGTTCTCAAAACAGTTTACTGCTATGCCCCAGAATATGTTCTCTTAAGCTGCTGTTAGCTGTCCCATATGGGTTTAGTTTGGGAATTTTTTTCACAAGATAGCTTAGCAGTTTCTGGAGTTTCGTCTGTTTTATAAGTCCATTATCCTTACGCTCTGTAACCTCCCTTCTTTACATCAAAAGGTAAACTTACTTCCAGTTTCTCAAGTAGCCTGAAATAAAGTCTAACTATCTTTCTCCATTTTCTGTTAATTTTCTCCATCTCTTAAAATGAAGATCCATGCTGAACAATAGATTTTGTGGCCTGGGTATATCCTCTGAATGTGTTTTTCTGATCTTCTCTTCTAATAGCAGAGTACTTTAAGTCTTGCTTTCCTACTGGAATTATTTTTTAAAAAAATTCTTTTAATTCCTGTCCCGAAAAAAAACATAAGAAATTTTCTTTTCTTCACGAGGATGCCTGAATTAGACACTTCATATCAGTATCCCTTTTCTTTTTCTGTGTATTTTTACTGGAGAAATGCAACAGGCTTTCTGTTAACCAGACTTTTTTTGAATACTGAAGTATGATGTGCATTCTCAATACACAGAGCAACAACTTCTTCACTTTCTTCCTTGCTTTCTATTATTGAACAAACCTTTCATTTTAGTGCTTTGATTTATCCTGCAAGTATTTTAAGCTGTGGTGGCAGCCTCAGGTTCACCCAGTTATGCTTTGTAGCCCTTAAATATTTGTATAGCCACACAATGTGTTTGCAAAGTTGCTTTATCATTCTTGGTGTTTGTCTCATGCTATAGTTTCTCTTCCATATTTCAATGATTTATGTAAGTTGAAAAATATTTCAGTTCCCCAGCTCTCCTCAGACTAGTTTATATTCTTTTTCTCTGATCTGGCAGGTCAGTGTTACCGTGCTCCTCCTTGTATTGCTACCGTCTCTCCTCAGCCAGGTTCCCTTGCAGAATCTCATTTCACCATGATAACACCCTTTGGGCAGCCATGCAATTACTGCCATTAATTGTCTATCCGTGCTAGAGAAGGTCCTCTAAACTGGTGAATAGCTTTTGTGTCCACAGCTCCATCATGGCATTTGGAACTACCACTGAATTTCCTCACTTTTGACAGGCAGCATCCTTAGCATATGGATGAGTGCCACAAGGCAAAGTTTTGTGGGTTGATGCAATACTACCTAGTGGCAGTTAGAGCAGAGTTACTAACCATTGATCCAAAGGATTGCAGCTATTGGTTGTTTTCTTGGATACTAATGATGTTTCATACAGGGGAGCTAATCTGTTTGGTCTAACTGAAATTTCTTAGGAACCAGCAGCTGCATAAGAAATACATTTAAACATAGCTCAAACCTTTATATGAGTATTTAGGTTTAAATAGTCTGATCCAAGTAACTGTTTTAGGATACAAAGGTTCACATATCATGTATATATTGACCTCAAAGGAGGAATGATTTAATTCCTTCTGTGGGCTATGTAATGTGATCCATCTGAGTCTCAAACTCTAGTAATATAATCTCAGTGTTAAACACTACTTTCAGTTATATTTCTATAACCAAGCATGTGGAATGTCGTTCACTAGTACCCTAAGTTACAAGATACCTAGTGTGAATATTTTAGTAATGTGTTAAATGAGGAAATAAATGAATCATCCTCTCTTAATTCAAGTTGTTCTTATTGTCCAAAAGCTGGAATAAACTTCTAGACTCCTCTTATCTCCTACATCCTTTCTCTGGAGAAGCGCTTAGCTTCAAAATGCAAGCTTCCCCATGCAGACATAGTCTTAATTAGGCTTGTTTGGGAGAACAATCCGTGATACCCATCTGCCAGTGGAGACTGCTGAGAAACCACCAGCTGGCTTTGAGGGAGATTATGAGGAAGACTTAGGGCAATAAACAATTTGAACTTAAAAAGATTTCCTCATAATGCAGATGCTTTCATTAATGTTAGTGGGCTTTTAAACTTTTTCTAGTTCAAGGAATGTTACAATTCTGTTACCGATGGAGCAGAATCTAAGCAAGAGTCTGTGAGGCTCAGTGCTTCTAATGCACGATGCCTGCTCTCTCCTGGCTGGACTGTGCCTTAAATACACGACATAGTAATTAACAATCCGCTTCTCTGTCTGGAAGGACTGTTCCTCTTGGGACTTGGACTTCAGCTTACGAATTTCTACCAGCAAAGAGTATGTTTGGTGGTGCATTAGGTAAAATAAAATGTAAAGCGTTAAACAAACTCATTATCGTATACCATAAAGCTCACAACTAACTTTTACATCATACTGTATTTTGTACTTTTCAAGTCTCTGTCCACACACCAGGTGAACATCCTCTATTATGGGTGTACTTCTTGTTTTTTACAGGTTATCACAATTGGTAAACATGTTAAAGGATACCATTATATCATTGCAAATCTGGTAAGTATTCTTAATATTTAAAATACCTGTATTACTCAATTTTACTGTTTATGGATGCATATCAACTAGTATTTTGTTTTACGTGCATTTTAGAAAGCAGAAAAAAGCTAAATGTCTTCATCCTTGCTAAATGAATGCATGTGTTGAGACGATATTTGCTTTATTGGCTGAGTCTTTTCAGAACTTAAATGCGTCCCATCAATGGGAATGAAAGTTGCTCAGCACTTCAACAGAGCTTCTCTTTTTTGACATACTTTAGAAAAAGAGGGTACAGAAATCAGAAAAATAACTTTCTACATCATTGATACATTAATTCAGAAAACTGATAATTTCTCTCTCACACTTCTAAACTACTTAAAAATTACAGTTATCAACTTTCATTCTGTTAGACTAGTGAGTCTCAGATTTATACATATTTATCTCTCAGATTGGCTGAGTAATCAGTTTGAATTAATGTTTCTTGAATGTAGGTGATCAGATAGTGTGTATATATATATATATATAGTTTTGTAAGGGGAAAGTTCAGAAAACTCACTACATTCTGTCAAGGTAATTATTTTGAAATCATGTTTCAAGGTGGAAGGCCGTTTTACTGACATTAAAGTCAGCAACACTTACTTACTGAAGCTAGGGAAACTAATCCAATAGTTTTTTTAACAGACAAAGCAAATTCTTCAGGCTTGAATCTCAGTTATCCCATTCAAGAAAAGAATTTTGGGGGTTGTATAATGCGAGTGCTACTAAATAATTTTTTTCATCATTTATTCTTGAGCTGTGATAATGTTTGATATAAATTCCAGCAGGGCCCAGAGTGCCCTGATTTACGCTGTCTTCTATAGTCCTTTGAGGAGTCTGAGGAAACAGAAGGACCATAGTGTGCCTATTGCACTTCAGGCGTAACCCCTGTCTCCTCCCAGCTTTGATCGAAACACTTCGCCCTCTAGGCGGGCAGAACTCTGAAGAATCCTGTCAGTGTGATGGTGTGAAGAAGCCTTGTACTTTAAAGGCCTCTTTAAAGGCTGAACACTGGGGTTTCATTTTTATATCTTATTAAATAATTTTTGGATAAAGAAATTAAAGTACCGATATTCACAAAGCAAGCATAAAAGTCTTAGAAAATTTGAAAAATTTAAATAACTTATATAGATAATATATATTATATAGAGAGATATTTCAAATGTCGGATAAATAGTATTTTGATTCCTGAGGGAAATTTTAGAAAGTATGCCTGGTGGATTTCGTTATGTTAACTGCTTGCTATTTTGGCCATCACTTTAAATTTGCAACAGTAATTCCATGAGATCTAAAACTTATTGAATCTTGAATTTTAAAGCGGTTTAATATCATATATAAAATGTTTATGGTAATTATTTTAAAACTGTTTTTCTGTCAGAAAAGAAACTTATCTAGTACTTGATCATATCCCATCTTTGCTGAATCTATCTTCTTTCTTTTTTGTCTGTAGTAGTGTTCTCCTCCAGTCTGATCAATCAGTCAAGAGATTGATCTATTTTAAGAATAAAAAATGCTGATAGATGGAGAAAAGGTTAATAGTATACAATGAATGTTCCTGTTAACTGTCACACTAACAATAATATTGAAGAAGGTTTCATGACCCTCATAAAAGTGTCTATATTAGCATGCAGCAGCACATCACTGGTGAGGATCACTAATATGCAATTATTTAGGAGCACCTAGTGTAGCAGTTGTAGCAACTTATGATAATGTGGTCTGAAGTTGTTGCTTCTTTTTGTGTTCACTCTCAACATTTATTTGAACTAAAGTGTCTGAAATCAGTATTTTGTGTAAATGCATTTGTATGGTTATTTGGGCAAAGTTAAATCATGGACCACAGAAAACAGAACACAAGAACTATAAGAATGAGAAATAGTTCTTTATATCAGAGGGAGGAGGCTGAGGAGATGGTAAGTTGTTCCACCTGCTTTAGAGTTCCTGGCAAAAGGAGGACACAACTGTATCTGTTAACTATTCCTGGCTAAAACTTGCTTGCTTAACTCTTACTCATGGCAGTGTTCCCTTTCTCATTTAAATGGTCCCCTTGAAATTAACAGGATTGTTTAGGAAGTAAGCATGGCAAGGACAGATCCACTCATCCCATGCTTTATGAAGGTATTTGTCTTGTGAGCAAGAAGAAGGGTTGCTGGCTGACAGAGCTGACAACTTAATCCTGGCAGCCCAGGATTTAAACTTGGATCCAGTTTGAGGAAAATGTTGGCTTACACTTCTGCAATAGAAGTCATATGGGGACTCTGTATTTGTATATACTATTGAGAGAACTGCCAAAAGGATCGAAATAACAGACATAATTTTTTCTGTGCCCAGGGATTTACTGATGGAGATTTGTCAAAAATTCAGTTTGGAGGAGCTAATGTCTCAGGATTTCAGATAGTTGACTATGATGATCCTCTGGTGTCAAAATTTATACAACGTTGGTCAACGTTGGAGGAAAAAGAATATCCAGGTGCACACACTAGTACAATCAAGGTATGTCTTCTATTTGTTTTAACCGTGCTAGATGCACAGGAAGTGAAGAAATTGGAATATAAAGACTACACAGAGAAAGCCCTTGAAAATCAACTATGTCAACACAATTTTATACTTTTTTGGGGTACTTTTAACATTCTCTATCATAGGACCATTTTGAGCAAAGATGCTACATTCTCAAAAATGTTCAAGAAAACTTTAGTTTCTCTTCTGTCCCTGTTAATCTGTGCCTGACAGCTTATTAGGTAATTCTTTTGGATGTGATGATATGTTAATTATATACTGACTACGTCTGATTTTTCTCTTTCTCTGTGTATTGAAATGTTTTAAAGACAAATATTTAGTCGTACGTTGGCTTCTGGGGAACGCAGATTTAGCACTTTTTTGATATAAAATAGTCTCCCTAAGAAATGGTAGGACAGTTGCTTTAAGACAGATACTTAAGTCCTACAAAGGCTTTTAAAATTAAATGCTATATCTGATGTACAGAATGATGGTCTCATTTCAGACCTGAGTGATACATGTTGTGACACCGGGCAAGTGGTTAAGCTTCCTTACCTCAGTTTTCCTGCTGGATAAAACTAGGATAATAGTACCTTCTTACTTTCTTACTTGCGTTATGAAAATCAACTAGTGGCTGCAAGTGGTTAAAAATAATAACTCAATTTTAATGCTAAATAATTTTTGGTTTAAGTAATAGAATCAGAAATTTTAATAAGAACATGCATTCTTAAATATCTCTAAAATGTTTTTAGACAAAAAGATAAATGGAAAATCTTCTAGGCATAACCTTTTTGTGCTATAGTTTGAATATGAAGTATATTCTTAATTTATAATTAGATGAATAAGAAGTTTCAGCAAGGAACGGAAAAAACATTTTTTAAATTCCTGAAACAAAAGTCCTTTAAAGCACACAACCTTAATTTCAATTAAAAAGTAAAGATTATAGATTCCTTTTTTATGAGGTCGAATTTGGTGGTAACTTAGTCAAAGCAATGATTTTTTCTGTGGTTATTTTTGTAGTTTAAAATCTATGACGGAAGAAGTGAATTTCTGATCTGATGTTTGACAGAGTAAACTGTGATTCCGTCTCATGTTTTTAGGTACATTCATATTACAGACATAGTATATATAATCGGTATTGTTCTCATTTAGGAAAAATGTGGCTGTGGGTGATTAATAGAATTGTTTTGTCTCTCTGATTACTGAGTGCCCAGATCTATCTACCTACCTATTCATGCTGCAGAATCATAATCTGGAAATAATAATATTGAAATACATGACCGAAGTAAAGAAGTCAAGCTGAAAGCAAGTTGCAGTTTTTATCACTGATGGAAAAACAAATGGGTGGGGCACAGTAACAAGAACTCTTGTTCCTCTGGTGCCACGCTAACAAGAAATTAGATGTGTGTTAAATAACATGAGGTGGTTGCAATGTTTTATTAGAGCACTAAAATATCTTAACTCTATCACAGATATTCTCTTTATTTCTTCCATGATAGGTCCTTTCAAGTGTAGCAGAAATTGAAAGGGTCGAAGGAGGCTATTTAGAATATCTTCTTGTTTTGATTTTGTTATGGATAGGAAAACTAAATTAATTGAAACACTTATTTTCATGAATTTCATTAACTTAGAACACATTTTAAATTCAATTTAAAAGGCTGATCTCTCTTTATATATTGATTGATTAAGGAACATATGGATTGCACTGAGACTCAGTCAAGAAATTGAGACCTTTGTTAAATTATCAGATAATTTATAAATGCTAGAGGTATTGATGGTGGGGAAAGCGGAAATATATATTGCAATATTTAGTGACATTGATTATATCAGTTACTGTATTTCTTTGACTTTCTCTTGTCCTTATACACGTATTACTTGTCATTTTTGCTTGTCATTACATGTAAGGTCAGAGATATGTCACATTTCATTCCCATCCTTGAGGAAGCTGGAGGCAGGGCAGAATCACAGAAATCATAGAAACAGGGCACGAGAGGTCTTTGAGCAGTCAGTCACCCAGTCCATCCTCCTTACCTGAAGGCAGAATCAGATGAACCTGTGCAGTTCCTGTGGGTAGTGATTTCACAACTTCCCCAAGCAATCTATTTCACAGTTTAAATAATCTTATTTTTGGCTTTTGTCTAGCCTCAATCAGCCTTTATATCACCTAATTCATTACTCCTTTATATGTTTCTAATGGATATGAGGGAGTTCTCCTTTTCAGTTGTCCTATATTTAAAGATGTCTGCCTTATTTCCTGCCTAGCTTTCCTCCCTGCAATACTAAATAATCCCTTTCCTTTGCATTTTCTGCTCTCTGATCCTGTTCGTCATTTTGCTCTGGAACCTTTCTGTTTGGTATCAAATAGAAATGTCAGACTGGCTGCTGCACTGCATCCAAGTGCTATGCTGAAAAAATGGAAATAACGGCTTCATATATCTTAGAGACTGTACTCATTCTAGGGTTTCCTTTTGTGTTAGTTGTTTTTTCTTTTTTTTTTCCCTCTCCTCACCATCATGATACTATTGAAATATACTTGTCATGAGATACGTGCTAACAACCAGATCTTCTTCTGCATTGCTTTCCTTTGCTGCTGCCAATTAAGGCTGTTTAAATGCATTACTTACCTGTCCTTGCTGAACATCACATTCCTCCTTATATTATTATTCTAGCTGTGTTTGTTACCCTTTGCTTCTTGAAAGAGTGTACAAACGTCTAAATTACTGAGCAGGTTAAAACACTGGTCTTCTGTTTGTCCTTTCAGTGATCTTACGAGTAACTTCTCTTCCCTTTTTATTTTGAGGTAGTTTTCTAAATTGCCAGTGCTTATAAATGAACTTCTGCCACTAGTTCCCGTGAAATCTAGGAAACTGTTGCGGCAGATCTCATATGAAATGGATGGAAAGGCTAATAAAAACCCTGTATTATCAGTATAGAAGTGAGAGATGGTTACATGCCCCTTGCAGGTAATATTATACCTGGGATTGCAAATGTTCTATCATTGCAGGCAAAAACATAGCAACTGTGTTGTATTATCTTTCTTTTGTAATCCAAAAAGAAGTGTACATTCATTTCACATTATAAAATGCAAATTAATGGAATATGACTGAGCTGATATAATAAGACATGTCACAGCATCCAAGTACAGTCCTGAAAACAGAGAAAGACATCCCTTCTAAGAAAAAGTGAATTTCAAAGGAACACACTCCTCAAGAAGCAAAAGCATTGTTAAAGACCTGTTCTTTAGATGCTCAGAAAAGGACCTGGATCAAATTGCTTTAAAAATGCATCTTCACAATTTATAAAACATTACTTATAAGAAATTGCAGTCTTAGGACATGGGTGAGAAGAAACACTGATTTTATTTCTTGCTGCACTGTACCTGTACTGATAAAACCACAAGATTTAAAGATTAAGCAGGATACATAGAACTAGTGCTTTGAAGAGTTTTTCCAGATGGTCTTTTCATCTTTCAAAAATAAAGCTGATACACTGTTTACCTGGATGAAATTCATAATATATCTGTTGTAACCAAGGGTGTTATCAGTTCTAAAAAAGCTAATGATGTGTAGATCTTGAAACAAACAGTTGAACATCCTCGTGAATTTCTTTGTCAAGCAGGGAAAAAAAAGCCATATTTAATTTTGTGAAGGCCTAATAATAACAAGTTGATATCTTCGTTTGATCCATGCTTGTGTATTTACAAATATGCTAGGCTTTCTGAGCCTTGATGTTGTGTCAGACTGTTATGTTTAAGGCAAGTTTAAGGCAAGTTTCTTGATCTTGTGGAAGGACACTGAAGGACAGTGCATCCATTCACATCCAACTGCTTCAACTTCATTATCTGATTAACTCATTCTGTTTGGGGGCAGCCTTTGGTCTATTTTCAGGAAGAAGCTCAATTTGTGCCTCTTGGAGGCTGGTGAGACATAAGTTGTATTGCCTTTGTGTGGCAGGGCTTTGGTAACAGGGGGCTACAGGAGTGGCTTCTGTGAGAAGCTACTGGAGGCTTCCCCCATTTCTGAGGGAGCCAATGCCAGCCAACTCCGAGATGGACCTGCCACTGGCCAAGGTTGAGCCCATCAGCGATGGTGGTAGTTCCTCTGGGACAAAGCTGCTGCACAACAGCATCTAGAGAGAGGAGTGACAGTATATGAGAGAAACAGCCCTGCAGACACCAAGGTCAGTGGGGAAGGAGGGGGAGGAGGTGCTCCAGGTGCCAGAGCTGAGATTCCCCTGCAGCCCGTAGTAAAGACCATAGTGAGGGCAGGCTGTCCTGCAGCCCATGGAGGTCCAGAGGGGAGCAGAGATCCACCTGAAGATTGTGGAGGACCACACACTGGAGCAAGCGGATGCCTGAATGAGGCTGTGACCCCATGGGAAACCTGTGCTGCAGCAAGCTTCTGGCAGGGACCTGTGCACCCATGAAGAGAGGAGCCCACGCCAGAGCAGGTTTGCTGTGAGGACTTGTGACCCTGTGGAAGGGGCCCACACTGGAGCAGTCTGTTCCTCAAGGACTGCACCCTGGAGAAGAGAACCATGCTGGAGTAGTTCGTGAAGGACTGCAGCCTATAGGAAGGACTCACATTGGAGAAGATTGTGGCGTACTGTCTCCCATGGAAGGGACCTGACACAGAGCTAGGAGAAAGCAGTGGCAGAGACGTGTGATGAACAGACTGCAACCCTTGTTCCATGTCCCCCCTGTGCCACTGCCCCTGTGCCAGGGGAGTATAGAGAATTTGTGAGTGAAGTTGAATCCAGGAAGAAGGGAGGAGTAGGGTGCAATGCTTTAAGATTTAGTTTTTATTTTCTCATTATCCTACTTTGATTTGATTGGGTAATAAATTAAATTTTCTCCAAGTTGAGTCTGTTCTACCTGTGATGGTGATTGCTCAGTGATCTCTCCCTGCCCTTATCCCAATCCATGAGCCTTTCATTATATTTTCTCTCTTCTGTCCCTCTGAGGATGAGAGTGACAGAACAGCTTTGGTGGCACCTGA